CACGTACTGAGGGAAATCCAGCACATGTCGAGAAGCTGTGGGCACATCATTCACAATAAAACAGTCAATAAAGGGGAAGTAATCAAAGGGCTTGATGATAAGGATGGGACAATTACTGATTTTATTGATAGATCACAATATAAAATGCAATCATAATCATTGGTACTTCAAATCATTTTGATAACCATGTACAACTGGCATCTGTTTAAACATTCATGGTGATATAATGAAAATTTCACATTTATGAAAAGATCCATATCTTGGAAAATAGGAATGGCCTGCAATTCCTATATTAGTGCATCCCTAATTTTGCATATTTGGAAAGGTGTATCACAATCGTAACATGTAGCAGTAAAATCGCAATACTAGTATATTTTGTCCATATCGTGCAGCCCTACCATCAAGTGTCTGCCAATCTGTACTGACTCACCAGCATAACCCAGTTTAGCATCTGCCAAAACCTGTAGCGTGTTTTCAACGCACACCTTCCCAATGTCCACAGCCCCAACAAAGTCGTAGGCTTGCTTTATCCGCTGGATCAGCCTGTCTGTCCTGTGCCTGATCTGCTCTGGGCTCAGATCCCATCTTAGATCGCTCCGGTTGTCAGCAGAGTTTGAACAGTTCCTGGCAGAAACCTCCAGTCCATTCAGCAGGGTCATCCTGAGCCTCAGGCTACAGTGAAAAACCCTTTGAGGGGAGAAAAAAAAGACCAGAGCAAGGAATGTCAAAATATTCTGTTCAGAATCAGTATACAGCTCCAAACGCTGCAGTGTGACCCTGTCATCAGCCCGAGCTCTAAGTAGGCAAACCTGTTGAATCCAGTCTTCAGATGACTGAAGAAACGTCTTCAGATATTTTTAACCCTTAGACAAACAGATAGTAAAATCTTGAGGGCAGAAAGTTGAGCTCCTTACAGCTGCACCCAGCCAAAACAGGGAAACTGGCACGACCACCTCCCTGACCGTGAAAGCATGGTGACTGGAACATGATACCTCCTTCCAAAGCTTACAACAACCCCCACATGACTTTTAGATTATCGAGATTTAATTTCACAGGGCTGAAGCTGGCTTCTTATTCACAGCTTCCGATCTGTCTACCCTCTCATTCACAGCTTCTAATGCAGGGACAGCAGACCCAAGGGTCTATTCATAAAAGCCAATCTGCTGCACACTTACTATTTTGGTACAATTAAGGTGGGAAAGCCATCGAAGGCAGCCAAAAGAAATTCATGATGAATCACATTTAACCAAGAGTTCTTCTGAATTGTATGGTTTGTATGGAGTGCAGGTTTGATTGTAGTAGGTTGTGATACTTATTGCTTCGAAAGTGTGGATGTTTTACAGTAAAGAAGATGGCCTTTACATTAGGTAAGATGCTTAAAGGGTTATTCCTCAAAATGTCTGCATAATTTAGCAGTTAACCCCTAAACAAAGTCATTCAGAGTGGTTTGTTGTGAAATGGTGAATTGTAGACAAACTTGTAGTGAAACAAACTTTGATGTCTTTACAGTGGTGGTGATAGGAACCAGGGGTCACCATGTCTACAACACAAATATAGCCATTTTATTTACTGTCCAAAACCACCAGTAAACCTACATGTGTCTTCTGTGTTTTTATACGTAATGTTCATAATAGTATAATAGCAGTACATCTGATAAAATAAGTTCTCTGTGGGGACTATTTTGCCTTACAACATCCTGCACACATCTTTCCCATGAATGGATTTTAAAAATGACCTTATGTCAAAACTATCATAAAACATTGTCTCAGACACCAGGCAGCACATTCATAACCACTTCATGTATGAACTTTCTGTGCTCCACTTTTGCATCAAACTCTTCTGATGTCTGGTTATTATCACCACCACTGTGAATTATTCTGACTTGGTACGTTTCTATTGAATGGAGCATCTCAGAACAAACCATTCTGAATGACTGTTAATATCCTAACCAGTAAATTATGTAGAAATTCTGAAAAACTAGGGAGATTCCCTTTTAAAAAGGGAAACAATTTTATTCAAGTTCGGAAAAAAATGTAAAACAGCATAACATAGTGCTGTTGGTTATAGTTAAAATCTTGTGACATCTTCAGTGTGTTGTATTTGATTGTGTAAACAGATTATTAGACATTCAGAGGAGAAAAACTCAGCCTTCTCTTTTACAGTTCGCCATCAAGGTGATATGGTGATTCAGTTTTTAATAAGGTGTGGACATAAATTAATATATTGAGGCCACAAATGAATACGTTGAGGCTACAATTTAATATTGAGGCCACAAATTCTTATACTGATACTACAGTTTACTGTATAGAGGCCACAAATTAATATATTGAGTACACAAATGACTATACTCACGCGCACACACACACACACACACACACACACACACACACACACACACACTATGCTGCTTATCTTCCTGTGCGCAGGGGTGCTGGAGCCTATCCCAGCAGTCATTGGGCGAAAAGCAGGACAAATCATAATACTGAGGTCACAATTTACTATACTGAGGCCATAAATTACTATACTCAGGCCACAGATTAATATACAGGATGTCTGAAAAGTAAGGAAACACCTATATAAAATGAACACGGTTTGGCAGACGGTGATCCACTTTTAGACACAAGCTGTGGAGGAAGGGGGAAACTTCTTATGCCATGTCACCAACATGGGACATTTCCTGATTTCTAAAATTGATCACCGTCTGCCAAACCGTGTTCATTTTATATAGGTGTTTCCTTACTTTTGAGGCACCCTGTATTATTATGAGACACTTAACTCGTGGCCTCGATATAGTAATTTGTGGCCTCAATATACTGATTCGTGGCCACACCTTATTGAAAAATAACCATGTCACCTTATGGGCCTCTGTGTTGTACATCAATGACAGGAGAATCACTGTTTCCAGCCTCCAGTCCAGTAGAGCATTTAGTGTAGTTTCGTGTTTAGCTGCCGTAAAACATCACATTTAGCTCCAGAACGACTTGATAAACTAATGATAAGAAGTGAACGAAAACGCGAATCTGCACAAATCTGTGTTGTGCAGGTGGACTACAGGACTGGATAGCAGTCCGGTTCCTGGAGTCCACACTGGTCATTTTTAGAGCTTTGCCCGCTCTCGATACGCTTTACTTAGCTAACCAGCTAATGATCATGTCATTCCGGAGGTGAATGCACGAAATTGCACGATGTATGTAGATTAACTTAAAGGTGGGAAACACTGTTCTGTGACAATCCTACACTAAACCACAGTTTACAATACCTGCACAAACCGGCTCGGATCACAAACATGCTGAGGGAACACACTGCACTCGTGAATGAATTGTTCTTTTGAGCCGGTTCTTTTCAACGAATCAGTCGAACCGACTCAGGTGGCCAAATGATTCGAAGCTTTTTTTGCATCTACGCAACGTCCGTGTTTATTAAAGCACCTAGACTAAAATTCGAATAACAATGTTTCGAAAGTTTATCCTCAAAAAGTCATAAAATAATATATACATAAAATAATACAGAAACATATAAAGGACAACATCGTTCATTTGGCTTACATTTTCTGCTTGTAGACTTATTGTCAGCGTCCTCTTTTTGTTATATGTTTACCTATATAAAATAAAAATATATGTACATATATTGCTGTGGTGTTTTGAAACTTATGTGCCAAAAACATTTAACTGTGCTATTTTTAAATATTTAAATATTTGCCAACATGTGCACATACACTATATGGGCAAAAGTATATGGATGCTCCTCCTAATTATTTAAAACTACCTAATTAATTTTCAAATCGCTTCAGCTGCGCAATTACTCTGCGTTTTGTTCAGGAAAGGCACTATTCTGATTTTATCTGCAAAACATTTTATTCATAAAACAAATTTTCATATTAAATCTCAGAAATGTTGGTGTTTAAAACAAAAACAGCGCTGAATTACATCCCTTAAAATAATAAATGATAAGAAGAGCAATTCTTTTCTCATCTGTCTGGAGCCCAATATCCCTCAATGTCTGCTTATTATTATGATATGATTTTTAAATGATTTCTTTTTTATTTATTGGTTCATATTTTTTATTTTATTGTATTGCATTTCACTGTTTTATCTTAGATCATTTTTGCTGCTGTTAATTTACACATTAAGAGCAGTAGTGATATAGGTTGTGATTGTTGCATCAGTCAAAAAGACTCATTTTAGCTAATATTTCCTACCAAAAAAAGTGAACGTGAACGGGATGTTCGATTCACTGAAATGCATCGGTTCAGCGAAGTGAATCGAACTTCCCCTATTGTGTTGAATCCTCGCAATCCTCTCGCGCATGCGCGCTGCTGAGACTCTCTCTGGCTCGAGCTCTAGTGACGCTGTGGTGGGTTTCGCTCTGCTGGCGATCTGTGCAGGTAGGAGGGCGGATGTAGCATCACCAACAACACAGCAATGTTATTTCCATTTTAATGCAGCAACGTGCAAAATGATCAGCAGTGAAGTAGATTTTTACTGGCGCGGTCTGGTTGCCGCTCTGACGCCTTTATCAGAGATAGTGCTGCTCTGCAGCCATTGCACAGGCGTGTGCTTGGCAGTTGAAAACACTACAAACGTGATTTGCTATGTTGATGTGTTCAGGAGGCCCTGAGATGTACTAAATGTGTGGTTATTTCGTAGTTTGTGGTTGATTGTGCATTAGATATGCAGTGACACGGTGTAGGACAAAAACCTCCATCCCCCAGTTAGCATTACATCACATAACTGCATCATTTGTGCAGCTTTTGTTATCCAGGGACGCAGCACATACAGTATAAGGTGATTTTTGGATGGAGCTGTCAAACTGACATATTTACCTCTGGGTGTAATTTGTGCTAGACTGGCCTTTCCTCTTTTTCAATCTCTGCTTTGGAGATCTCCAGTTTATGATTCATTTGGTCAGCTATATTATGTAATTAACTGCAACTGCTTGCTGCATTATGTATGGAGTTATGCACTGGACAGCATGGGGTTTGTGCACGTATGTGGGCCTGATTAATGGCTAGAGGCCTATTTGGAAACTTTGGGATAACTATAGCATGCCTGTATGGAACATAAATCTGGGATATAAATAAGGCCACTGAGAGCCAGACAAGAAAGCTGGGGATCAGAGTGCAATGCTGAGAACAGTTCTGTTCAGGATGATTTGACTTCTGAGTAATCTGGATTATTTATGGCGTGTCTACATTTGTCAGAAGGTAATCAGTAAACTGACAAACTCTGCTCATGCGGTTTCACTTCAGCTCAGATGTAATGATGCTTGGCTAGTATTTCGGTTTGTGATAGGACAGCCCATATCATGGGAAACTTTTAAATAAGAGTTTGATGTGCTAGGTTAGGGGTCGGCAACCCCAATGTTAAGAAAAGCCAGTTTGTCCTTTCAACAAAAATCAGATCACCTTGGGAGCCTAAACATTGTATGTCCATTTTATTGGTTTTACCATCTTTGCTGAAAATATGTCTTAATATGTGCTATATATACATATATATATATATAGCCGCTTTTTTCGCATCCCCGGGAGGAAATATTTGAATATTTTCTTGTAAAATGTCTCTCAACGGTCGACTTTTTACAAGACTAAAGTCAGCTTCTCGTTCGCCTCTTGTTCGAATTTTCCAGTTCCACCTTAAATGCCTGAGGCACCAGAATGTAACCGCTGCGCCATTTAAGGTGGAACGGGAAAATTCGAATGAGAAGCGACTTCAGTGTTTGAGTGTTTGACAGTTTCTCTTTGCAAACGTATCAGGAAACCAGCTGGAGTGATTATAAACGTTTATAGTCAGTTTGCCTCCAAATTATCGATGTTCGTCTTAAATCTCTCTTTGTTTTTTTTTTATTAGCTACTAGCTAGGCAAGATTCTTGTATGCGTTGCTATGGTGACCAGCAGTCTGCGCGCCAACCTTCAGGGTTGAAAGGTGAATTAGCAGTTATACATTAACGTTAAACACCATTTATTGTTAAAACTGTGTTAGAACAATCAGTAGAGCTTTATTTTACTGCAAAGGAGGATTATTTTATTTTTACCTAATAATCTAATTCTGCTGTGGAGCCGCAACCGGGCAGTAAAAGAGCCGCATGTTGCTGACCCCTGTGCCAGGTCAACACTGTTTTCAAAGCGTACTGTTCACTCCCCACTCCATATGTCCCATTTATGGAAATGGAGCTGCTAAAACAGACCGTTCTGAATAATTTGTTTTTGTGATGTTACAAAAACCAACACATTGATGTACATCTGTCTGTACAGCAGTTTAGCCCCACCTATTCACACCAAAGTTATGAGGAGTGTTTCAGGCCAGACTCCTTTTGGATGAGGCTTAATACAGGGCAACCCAAATGTGTTTTTCCATGATATGAGCCCTTTAAAGGACCAGTAACAAAACAACCTGTTTAATTCCATGGGATAAAGAGTGGTTATAAATGGTTGTGTAAAAATAGATAAAAAGTATTTTTGGCACATAAACCCACGCAGATCTTACAAGTGGGCATCAGTGCAAGAAAATTGTAGGATATTGTCCTTTTAATGAGAGCTGAAAAAGTTGAGTGGAGTCTCATTTCTTTTGAAAACCTTTTGCTTCCAGTTTTTCACAGACAAAATGTCAGTGGAAAAGCGCCTGGCATATTCCATAGTGCAGTTCCTCAGAGACCAGACACACTGTGGTTCACTCAATTCAGATGAACAGGAAAGCCTCGAAGGTAGGCCAGTCTCATGTTTTAAACATTGAAAGTCACAGACCTTGCTCTTTTATTCTTTTTTCTTTTTTTTTGTTTAAACCAGTGGATGTTAAAATTCTAGTCACTGCTTAGCCTAAAGAGTGTTTTGGATTTTTGGATCTGAACACTGTAAGCTGAAAATACAAGCACATATTTATCAAGGGTCTCAGAGTAAGAACACTGATTTAACACCAGATCTTATCAGTTCATGTGCACTTTTCATGTACATGTACATGAACATTTAAAGTGTACACTTTAAAAATATTCTGTAACAAATTTATTCATTTACTGGCAGCGGAGTTACCATGTAGTTAGACTGTTAGCAATAAAGGTTCTGTGCAGGTACATTTCTCGTTTATCAGGGTGCAAACAATGTAAATGTATCCTCAAAAGTACAACAGTGGTTTTAAGGTCCGATTGTGTACCTTAAATAAGTTTATCCCAGGTGAAAAGTACATATTTGTACCTTTTCATAACCTAATGTTTTAAAACAGAACAATAAAATAAAAAGCCTGGAGACAAAACAGGGTGTGTGGAGTCACTCCAGCTTAGAAAATGTCAATGGATTATGATACAATTACGTTTCCTGACTAAAGGTACTGAGATGTACCCATGAGGGAACCACACCAGTGACAAAAGGGGTATTGCCCCAGTCACAGTATCATACCTCTTTTTTCTAAGATTGTACACATTATATTTACAGTGTTATTACAATAACATTACAGTAGCCATACAAAAATGATGCAGTATAATCTGCCTGTATTGTAAATGTTTTTCCATAAATCAGTACAGGTTGCTGTATAAAACAACAAAACACATTTAAGTATCATACTGACTTGGACACAGTACATTATGTGTACATTATGTATTACGTTAGTGTAACCCTGTTAACATCCAGTGCTTCTCTGTGTTCATTTGGATCAAAACAAAATTGTGCCTGTCACATTGGCACCTTTCTTCTGTACAAGCTCGTCCATTTTACTCTCTAATGAAGAGCAGACCTCATGTACCAGAGTTTATTTGCTTCATTTGTACCCCAGCAAAATTTGATAAATATGGGTTCTGCTGTTGTGATTCCACAAATTATTTCACTTTAACTGATGTTAAACAGTAAAGTAGCTGTCAATTCATGTCAAGAATAAGACCTCAAAATTATTTGTTGTCTTCTTCTCACAGTTGCAATACAATGTTTGGAGACCACCTTTAAGATCAGCTCCAGCGAATGTCACCTTGCAGCTCCACAGCCCCTCAGAGAGATCTTTCTGAACTCCCTCCTCAAGGTGACTGACACACTGACACACATTTCAGGGTGCATTAAATTAGTGTGGACACATAGCGACACGATCAGATTGATGAAAAAGTGTTTTCATGAACTTAACAATATAACAAATACACACAGCCACTTTATTAGAAACTTGCTCTTACAGTTAAGAGACTGTAGCCAATCTGTTGATGCACAGTTTATGTTAGCCATCCTCTAGCCCTTCGTCAGTGGTCAGTTGCTGACCTCTGAGCTGCTGGGTATTTTTGGATAGTGGACCGCTTTCAATCTAGCAGTGACCTAGCAGTGACTTTTATTTAGTGATTAAGTGATTTGTATGACCTCTTAAGCCTTTTTGAAGAGTCCTATACCCCTGCACTGTTATTTTATTTATTAAAACCCACCTGTCTGTGGGTTGTGCAATATGTATATTCTTATTGTTTTTGTATATTCATGTGTTTTTTTGCATATTCATATTCATTTCTCAAACCTAAATCTATAGAATGACATCGTGTCATTACAAGAGACGTCTCCGTCTCCAGAGGACATTGAGAGGGCTGAGCAGCTGAAGAATGAAGGTATATGGCATGCACTGGAACTGATGAAAGGGAAATATGACCTGAAAAAACTGAGGAAACTTCAGTTGAAGGAAAAATATGCAGCCAATTGCAGTCATTTACCGATTAGACAAGTCTCTAAAGCATAAATGTACATTATGATGCTCAAATGTGTTTAGAACTGTGTAAGATGGAGCAGGAGTTATTGGCAAAACAGGTACATACGGTAGAGTTAGGATAGTTTAAATACACTGCAAAAATTGTATTTTCCATTGAAATAATCTTAATTCGTTGATATATCTAATATTTCTTATTTTGAGATGGTTGTGCACTTATTACAAGATTTTTAAGCTTATTTAGCTAGACATTTTTACCTGCTTTAGGTCATTTTATTAAAAAAAATGTTTTGAAAGAAGTTAGATAATAGTAAAATAAGCTTACAACAATCTCAATGGGAGAAATATTGGATATGTCGACCAGATTTAAGACCATTTTATTTGACAAGATACTATTTTTTGCAGTGTACCTGCCTGAGTTATGAAGGTTTTGCTCCAGTAATAAACATTGTATTCATCTTCAGGGAACAACCACATGAAGGAGGAGAATTATAGCTGCGCTGTGGAGTGTTACACAAAAGCCATCCATCTGGACCAAAGAAATGCTGTCTATTACTGCAACAGGTGGGACAAAACACAGAGGGACTCAGCTTCATCTTGCTTGGAGAGTTCAGTCCTAATTTACCCCTCTTTTTAGGGCAGGCATGTCAAACTGGGGACCTTCCGGGCCAAAGTGCGGCAGAGATTAGCGTTCTAATGCTCTGAATACAGTTGATGAAGGCCTTGCTAATTAACTGATGAGCTGAATCTGGTGTGTTTAATGAAGCAGTGTGCTGACGTCTGCAGTGTTTTGACCCACGAGGACTGGAGCCTGACACATGCGTTTTAGGGGCAGATAAATATTAAACAGGTTTGCTAGATTAGGGTTAATTGAATTGGACACTGCTGCCAGATTTGACGTTAAAATAAGTAAATAAACTTAAACAAAGCAAGTCTCGGTTTATTTCGATGGCCTCGTAGATCTAACTGTTTAGTAAAAAAATAAATTACCAGCAGTATTAAGTTAAGGTAAGGTAAAGTAGGAACCCAGCATCTACAGACTGGCGACAAATTAAAGGAAAACCTGAGTGGAGAAGCATAATGAATGTAGATGCTTCCAGACAGGTGTGCATGATACATTTAATCAGTTAAAATCCTTTGACTTTGAAAGAGCGTTCATCATTTAAGAACAGACTGAGCTTCAGTCACACAGGCTGCTGAACTGACCAGTGCTTCAGTAGTATCAGTGACTAAAGTGACAACTGCATTTCGGTCTGTGGGAAAGGCCTCAGTAAACAGGGCTGGCAGTTGTGGTCAAATACACGAATTCCATAACCGTGATGGTTATACATTAGTGAGATGTGTAAGGAAAACCAGATGAGCAGTTGTTTGTCAGGTAAATGAGGATGTCAACACAGGACATGATTAGCAAGAACAGTCTGTCTACAGCTACACAGAGAGGGATATTATAACAGGATTGCAATGCAAGGACCCCTCATTACAAAGACAAATGACCATTTGAAAGTTCAGTGGTGAAAAATGTCAGTGGTGACTGATTTACAGAGATGTGGAAAAAATACAGTCAGACGAGCCCTCGATGTTCTCCACTGGTAGGACAGTGCATGTGCAGCATACACATTAGAACAGTACAGACCTGAATACTGGAACCGCACCCGGACCCAGGGTCCAGTGGCTCTGTTATGCTGTTAGGGGCATTTTATTGGCATACTTTGGGCCCATTTGTCCTCTTAGATGACACGTGTCAGGCTCCAGTCCTCGTGGGCCAAAACACTGCAGACTCTAGCACACTGTCTCATTAAACACACCTGATTCAGCTCATCAGCTAATTAGCAAGGCCTTCACAAACTGAATTCAGAGCATGCATTGAGGGTAGATGCGAATCTCCACAGCACTTTGGCCTGGAAGGTCCCCAGTTTGGCATGTCTGCCTTAGAGTGAAGGGTCACTGCAAAACAATACAAAGTTATTCTGATCTCTGACCACCTTTACCCTAGGATAAATCATAGGATATGGAATCAGTGCCCTGATGCACAGGGCATGAGGGGTCACTAAATGGTTTGACAAGGATCTAAATTGTGTGCTATGACACCAGATCTCACCCAGGACAGATGTGTTGGGCCCTTAAAACACCTATGGAGGGAATATCTGTTTGTGTTCCAGTACAGTTCAAGAGACTAATACAATTTGTGCCAAGGTGCACTGAACAGTGAACAAGGTGCACTTCACCAGCTGACCAGCTTCAGTGCTCCTTGGCATAGATTGGCACAACTTTAGTGCACTTTGGTGGGTCATGGGTGTCCAGCACATTACTAAGACACTTTATGTTGTTTTTTTTTTCTTTTTTTGCCCATCTGTAATGAATAATAATGAATAATGCCAATGCTGTGTTCTTCTCAGGGCTGCTGCACACAGTAAACTGGGGAATTACACAGAAGCTACTGGAGATTGTGAGCGGGCAATAGCCATTGATCCGACATACAGCAAGGCCTATGGAAGAATGGGGTGAGCAGTTGTAATTATATTAGCTTCAGTGTGTTTCTAGAATATAGTTCTGTGTTTTTGAAGTAGTGGTAGTATTTTCTTATTATGACATACACCATACTCTTAGTGTTGCTGTTATTTTACAAATATGTTGTTTTTTTTGGTTTCAAGATTGGCATTGACTTCCATGAGCAAGTATCCAGAGGCCATTTCTTACTTTAAGAAGGCATTGGTATTAGATCCTGAAAACGACACGTACAAATCCAACTTGAAGGTCGCTGAGCAAAAAAAGAAAGAAGCATCAAGTTCTGTGAGTAAAGCAAACTGTAATTCTGAATATATTCTCAACATAACTAATAAAAAGTCAAAGATTGAGTGTCATATAATATTACACAAGGTTTTTCATTCATATGTGGAAACGATTTCAGTATATAACTATACACATTTCACAAACTCTTAAATAATGCAAGCATGCAATTAAACTAGCTGTTAAAATCAGCTCTTAACCAATACTTGGATGTTTTTCTCAACAAAAGTCTGTTAAAAAGTACATACAGGAAAAGATATTGTTGAAGGTCTCAATAGTTCTTTTGTAATTTGTGTCCTCTCAGACGGCCGCAGGACTGGGCTTTGACATGGCCAGCCTCATCAACAATCCAGCCTTCATTAGCATGGTAAAAACTGGATGGTGTTCATAGCTAATGTATGGGTTTTTGTGGCCCACTTCAGAATGGCTTTCACGCAAGAACCAGTCGAGCTTGTGACCCACCAAATGTTAAAGTTTGATGAACATCCTGCGATTGTAGTCATGCACTGATAATTGATATTATTGGATATTTAGAGCCATTTGAATAAGTGCTGATATTATGCAAACTTTCATTCTTTCATTCTCTTTCATGTCATGCGATTTTTTAAAAATTGCTTTGCCTTTATTTAATAACTCCTTTTGTACAATCATTCTGATCTGTGGTTTACAAAGGAACTCTGGTACATGAGATCCATCTGTGCAGAATATATTTATCATTCTAAATTATTAAGCAGATCAGAAGCTAGCCCAGATGGTAATTAAATGATAATGATATTACCATCAGGAACGTGTGGTGCTCTGTAACTGAATTTGGATCATGATGATATAGTTTGTCTACATTTGCATTATCATGCAGGCACACCTGCAAGTATCTTGTATTTGATCTTATGCAAAAAAACATATATTGTAAGATATCTGATATTTTTATTACAATAACATTGCATAATGTTATTTTAATCTAATCTAAGCATGTGTCCAAAATAGATCTGTACTCTGTTATTAGTAATGTGCTATACAGGGGAGAACTAAGCTCCCTGGACAAAAAATGAGTCACCTTGCGTGTTTAAGGTGGTAGTAACTTTAGGCTCCTGCAGATGGCGCTGCACGAGGAGGATCAGGCTAGAAATATCTGCGGGGTGTGCGACTGGATTCATAGATTGAGAAAAGGTGGTACAGTGCAGCGAATGTCTCATTCGATATGTGGAAAATGGGTCGCAAAGCAGATGTTAATGATTGGCAAAAAGGAGTAATTGCATTTGGGCGTGCCAAAGGCCATAGTGTGAAGGCAGTAGCAGTAGAAATTGCAGGTGTATCAAAACGTATGGTCATTCCAGCAACAGCAAAAATCCCAGTCTACAAGAAATTCTCATCAGAATTGTGGCCAAAAGACGAAACAGTCGGACAGGGGCCGCCAGCGTGTTTCGCGGCTTGTGAATAAAAATCGCTTCGCTTCCAGGCAAGAATTGCTTCTAGAAGTCAACGCAGGTCCTTCACAACCAATTTCTGAAAGAACACTGTGCAGGGAACTGAACATATGGAGCAGAGTGGCACGCAAGAGGCCTTTGCTCACTTCTGCTCACAAAGTTGCCTGGTTACAGCAGGCGAGGAGAAACAAAAATTGGACTGTTTATGACTGGAAACGTGTTATCTAGTCATATGAATCTCGTTTCTGCCTGTATGTGATGCTCGGCGACGTGTTCGTCGTAGACCTCAGGAGCCTTCAATGAGGACTGCGTGCAAGATGTGGTTCAAGCTGGAGGAGGTTCTGTGATGTTCTGGGGTGTTTTATTTTATTATGCAGAAATGGGTTCTTTGGTTGGGGTGACAGTAAATCTGAATCACAGTGCCAACACTGAGCTGCTGGACAACGAGGTTTTGCCTTTTGCTCATAATCTTAGCGAGAAAAATAACATTCCTATCTATGTATTCGAAGATGACAGTTCTCGCGTTCACAGGGCTGAAAATGTGACTGATTGGCATGATGAACACTCAGGAGCATTCATACATCTGGACGGCCTCTTGAAAATCTGTGGGACTTCCTGGAACCACGTGTAAGATGACAGGGAAGGCATCCACGAATTCTGGCCAAACTGCGCAAGTCTTTGAAGCAAGAGTGGCTGAACATTGATGTCGTCTACATCCAGAAACTTGTCCAGTCCAGGCCAAATCCAGTCACAACTGTTATTCGTGCTCTTGGAGGTATTACATGCTATTAGGTACGTTTCTGTCACAGGTGACTAGTTTTTTGTCCGGTTAGCTTGTTTAGTTCAATAAAATAATTGGGACACTTTCTCATCATCAGCAAACCAACATGAGTAGCTTGTAAAGCTTAAGTTATCTTTTTATTCGCAGCCGCAAACATAAACTTAACATTGAAGAGGAAGAAGAAAAAGTAAAAAACTACAGTATAAAAACAGCACTACTACAAAAAACTATGGGCACTAGAAAAACTACAAAAACAACAACAGTTGAATCTTTGTTTTTATCAAAATTTTTTAATTGCTAAATTTCAGTAAAAATAATTGTGTTAAAAATTACTCTCACATACTCAGTAGTGCCCTAAAACACAATTCGGTGTCCAGTTCAGTCACAGCCAGTTCAGTGTCTGACACACCAGGCCCAATAATTCTGTACCTAACACTGGAATTATGGGATTCAGTAGTGTCCGGATTTTGATTGTAATATGATGAGCTCACACTTTCTATCTGAATGTGTAGTTCTAGACTCCTCAGTGTGATCACAGAATGAAACAGCTATTGTTAGAACTGACTGAACAGCATTGTTACATCATAAATAGAACTCTGTTACGTAACCGGAAGGTTGTGTCCAGTAATGCTGTTGTGACCAGACTACTGAAAGAATTATCTATGGGCTGAATATGCTTAGCTGAATGCCAAAGAACAGGTGATCTTTCGATGATTAGCATACAACAGCTTTCTAACCAGTTCAAGCAGTGACAGCTTTTATGAGCTTTTCCTTTGTCTATAGGCTGCCAGCGTTATGCAGAATCAGCAGGTGCAACAACTGTAAGTGCAGCATATTAAGTTACATTTAAATGTTTAATAACATTCAGATCTGGTAATCAGTTTTAGCTTTTAATCTAGCAGTAAAGAGATTAAGTTTTTTAGACCTACTTAGTCTTTGATAAGCTGGTGTATTCTTATGAGCTTTAATTTGATACTGATATGCCAGCATTAAACCGTATTGCTCAGCTACCATTGCTCAGATGCCACAGTGTCTGCTTACCAGCAGTTATAGATGTAAAGCAACCTGGGAATTTTGCAATGTGTTTTCCTCCTGTCATGCTCCCTGGGCAGAATGTCAGGAATGATGTCTAACGCTGTCGGAGGGCCAGCAGCAGGGGTTGGAGGCCTGTCTGATATATCCAGCCTCATTGAGGCGTAAGTATGTCTCTACTACAATATTAAATCCCTGACATATGAATGAGATGCTGACCCATTTACTTCTTCTAGCGATTACAAGAACGCAGTGTTTTGGTCTGAGGCCAGAAGATAATGTCTAAGACAGAATGAATCCGATCCAATTCTGAAACATGCAGCCTGAAACAGGGGTGGGCGATGTGGCAAAAATATCATATCATGATACTTAGAGACATTGCCATGATACATGACATGTTTAGACACACAATCTAGGGCTGCTGTGATCATGAAATGTCAGTTGATGATTGTCATATAAATAATTGTGATTAACGATATAATTGTCTTTTCGTAAACTATTAAAATAAAAGCCTAAAGTGGACACAGCACCTCCACCTTCCTTGCGGGTTCACCCCAACACCACATGCGTAATATAAATGTATAGGGGGCGTTCAGTGTGAAGTCACTGCAAATGTGTTATTTTATATGTTCTTCACAGAAAATGAAGGTCAAGGAATCTGAGGTTGAAATAATAATTAATCGCATCATTTTTTCTTTTGGTAAACACTGAAAATGGGTCCCACAGACCTGAACACCACACAAGGGTTAAAACACCATATTAGGAGTTAGATCATTTTTTGCTTTCCTAAACCCTATGATGTCTCTAGGGGTGTTGTTGGGCCTTTTAGCTGTTAAATGTACAGTGAACACAGGTATTTTTCATTGATTCATTATTCAACTCAAACCAATATGACAATATGACCGATATGAATCCACAAAATACATTTAAATATTACACATGTAAGATATGTAATTTGTGCTGTCAGTCACTGACTATGTCCCTTAGACTATTAAACACTTAAAAAATTACAGATATTCATAATATGCTTAGAAAAGCATATTGCTGATCACGATAGCAAAGGATTTTATTTATATCAATAACGATAAAATATCATCATATTGATCACTTCCAATCTGAAACTTCAAATTTCTTGTAGCTCGACATAAAATGAAATAAAATAGGTTGCATAACAATAATAGCCAAATGCAGCCCAATGTTGACATAAGAACAAGTTATTAGATAAGTTAGTTAAAGCTACTATTCATATATTTTAACGAATTAAATTTTTAACAAATTTGCACTGCAAATCATATTTGGTTTGGCTTTTTTGTGAGTTTGCTTCTTCAAAAGAGTATATTTGATGTAGATTGTTGGCATGAGGAACACTGAAATGAAACATCTCATTTGACTTTTGGTTAAAGAAGTAGTTCAGTGACAAATCCAGTTTAAACAATGTCCATACTTACGCTAAATGCAATCAACCAAGATGTGTAGTGGTGTACTGTTATCCATAAAATGGATATGAATAGATGTATAGATGGATGGATAGATAGAGTTCAAAATTCAATATTTATGCATAATTCAGTGGTTGAGATGCTTTGGTGTGAAATGGTGCAATTTAGAGAAACTTACTGGCTTGGGATGGAGGGGGTTGTGTAAATTTGATGTTCTTTTGGACTATAGCTTTAAACCTTTCGAAAGGCGACTGTGAGTGTGATCTCATTAAACACCATGTTTTTCTTTCTCTCTCTCTCTCTCAGTGGGCAGCAGTTCGCACAGCAGATCCAGCAACAGAACCCGGAGCTGATTGAGCAGCTGAGGAACCACATCCGGAGCCGCTCCTTTAGCGGCAGTGCTGAGGAGCATTCCTGATCTGCACAGGTCCGTCCCCATTACAAAACACGATCAGACACACTTTCCCTCTGAATCATTGGATACATTTAAAACATATTCATCCAAATAATAGGGTGCACTACATGCACTTTACTTCAGCAGAGGAAAGATAAAGCAGAGTAGGATGGTGGATTCCCAATACTGGAACTGAACCTGATCTAAAGGCATTTATAATGCATTATATAACAAAGCTGTCCCTTTTTCTGAGGTTTTTTTTTAAGGAACAGTTTGGTGAGAAATCACATTTACTGTTTTTCACCTTAACCCACATGAACAGCCAAGACATCTTTGTTTTCTGAAATTTTTAGTTTTACGCTGGAGCTATAAGGCTAATGTAGCTAACAAGTAATGAATGCTAATAATCCACAGTAATAGTCAACATTGTGCACACTCATACATAACTCACCACACACTTGCCTCAAACCACTTAAAGCTGTTTAGTAATCTCTTATCTAGTATGTTGAGAAGCTAAAAACAGTATACTCTTATAAAAGATGGTTCTTCAAGAGTTCTTTGGTAAAGAAAATGGTTCTATATAGAACCATGAACACGCAAAGAACCCTTTGCATGATTAAAGGTTCTTTGCATCATGAAAGGTTCTTCAGACTAATAGAGAATGTGCTGTAGATGGTGCTATACAGAACCTTTTCAGTAAGGGTTCTATATAGCACCCAAAAGGGTTCTTCTATTGTAACAAGCTTGACATCGTAGCAATAGAGGAACCCTTAAGGGTGTTACATAGAACCCTTTTCGAAAAGGTTTTGAAAATCTACAACATATTCTCCATTAGTCTGAAGAACCATTTCACCATGCAAGGAAACTTTAATCGGGTTAAAAGAGTTCTTTGCATGATTTCTCAGTCTGCGCATGTGTGAAAAATGGCCACGGAAATAAGCGAGCAGTGATGCTGCGAGATGGCAGCAAAACACTTTTTGAGCGACGCTGAAACTGACTATATGCTTAAGGAAATGAAGGATTTAAATATTCTTCACTCTTCTAGATGATGTATGTTCATACTTTCAGGGAAAATCGGTGCAATGTTCAAAACAGTTTTATGTTGCACTTATGTCACATCTTCTTCTGTGAGTTTACTGGCTGGTTGCAAAGCAGAAATCCAATTACTGCCTGACTAATGTGGACCCAGAGTTTCCTATTATCTGATTACTCAAGTGCATGTAAACGTGTTGATCGGATTACTGACAAAATCAGATTTTCTGCAGTTATTGGACTATTAAGTGCATTTAAATGCACTCATTGTGTCATACAGCATCAGAAACCATGTAAGTGTATTTGATAAGTCTATAATAGTCTGTTTGACAACTCAGTGCCTTATGAAGCAAGTGTATGATGATTTGTACAGTGCTAATTGGTAATATGAACTTATCATTACTTGTTAGCTACATTAGCCTTGTGATTCCAGTGCAAGACTAAACAAGCCAACTTCAGGCTCCAAACACATCTTGGGTGATTATATCTAAGATAAAAGGAAAATGGTGTAAATCAGATTTAAAGTGCAGTGACAGGTTCAGGAGGCTTTTGAGTGCTCTGCTCATTTTGTGCTAATGAAGACTGTATCTCCCACTGCAGAGCCAAGTGAGAGGAAGAACAAAGACGAGGCAAGCAGAGAGGGAGAAGGAAAGTCGTGAATGCAATCTCTACACCCATTCTTTCAAATCTGAGCACTGGCAGAGCTGGAGTGAGGAGAGGGAAAATGGGGCTGTGGCACTTTACAGGGACTGGGGCTTCCGTCCGGGAGAGAGGCAGAGGAAACAAGTCAAAAGCCCCTTTCACACTACACCACTTCCCACACCACTTCACTGCTAAATATGACATCCTGCTGTTCTAAGAATGGCCGGCAGTATTTCAGGAAGTGCTAGAAATGTTCAGATCATTTAAAGGGCCCATATTACTGCAAACCAAAATTTCTCGTAAAAGAGTTGGATGTAGAATATAAAAGCTGTTAAAGTTTCAAAATGTTCCCTTCACTCTCCAGTCCATATATGGAAACTAGGTTTATTTAGATAATTAAGTTTGTGATGTCACAGCAATTTACACATTTACATAACCAGCCTACGACCAGTTAACCCACCCATTCACACTAAAGTGATAAATAATGTTACTGCAGACAGTCTGTAGCAGAGATATTGGAGTGGAAGATATGGAAAAAATGATTGTTGTGCTGTTCCTGGCCGTCAGGAAGCAAATCTATCATTGTAGCCTTTAACAGAAGCTATTTGTTCCTGACATTCCTCTGCATTTTATCCCAAACACAACAGTTTGTTCTATACAAAATGATTTTTGATGTGGCCTTTTTACTTGTTGAAGGGTCAGCCAATCAGTCATTTACATACATCAGTCTTAAAAGCAGTGACAAAAGCAGCCTGTTTAATTCTACGAATGGAATCGGTTAGAGGTTGGTATGAAGTAGTGTATAACATTGCTGTCCTCCACATGGCAGACTGGGGTTCGATTCCTTGCAGGCAAGCATAAAACACTATATACTAATATGAGTCCTTTGGCAAGACTCCTAAGGCTGCCTTTAGCATATTGTGAAACTCTTTATGCAACTAGTGGCATATTCTAAGTTGTCTGCAACATACACCTACATGCACCTTGACACCTATTCCATTAGTTAGACAATTTAGCTGCTTGTATTTTTTATATCATATTTTATATCGATATTCTCGCTGTAAAGCCACCTGCGAGCTCTAATTTTTATATATTTGCTGCATTTTTATTGTCTTTTTCCAGCAGTCATCTTTTTTTTTCTTTAATTATCTTTTATTGATCTATCTGGGGTTCTTTACTATACATTTCAGTTTTTTATCTGTTGTTTTATGTTAAGCCTTTAAAAACGTTTAAGTAGCCATCATAGTTACAAGCCACTTAGTTTCTTACTCATCCCGTCCTAAAAGGGTCTTCTTTTCAACCGCCCAATAAACCATCCTCTGTTTTATTTTCTTTCTTTCATTCGAACGCATGTTGTTCAACAAGGCCACATGATGCTTTATCAGCATTACGATCACTACTTGAAAATTGTTTCACAAAGTTGAGGTTCAAGCGAGTTGCAAGATGTGCAGTTTAGTTTCATGTAGGTTTCAAGCAACTGAAGTTGCATGAAAGTTTCACCATGTAAAGCCAGCCTAAGTCTACAGTCTCTGTAACATGAGTCGCACTGGATAAGAACATCTGCCAAATGATGAAAGGATAAAGAAAGGTTGGATTATATTCATGTAAAAATTAATAACTAGTACATAAAACCACTAGTGAACATCACAAAGACAATAAAAATATGAGAAAAGTGAAGAATGTGGGCCCTTTAAAGTGCTGCATCTAATAGAAACCATTCTAGACCATTCTAGTGGAAAGTGGAGTAGTGTGAGATTTTTGAGTGTGAGAATCTCATATAGTGTGCAAGGAGCTAAACCATCTTTAAACTAACGGTACTCAGAGAGAACTACCATCCAACACAGCAGACTGGTGATCTTTCGTGCTTCTCTATATCTGTGCGTAGACTTATGTGCCAGTCCTCTGCTCTTTTCATGATGACGCCTGGCAATGGCACATCAGGGTCGAGTGCGTTTCAGTTCCATTTTAACTTCAAATGATTCATTATTGATTTTGTGCCTATCGATTATTTATCTTTGGGTCGTAGTCCTTGATAAACGAGGAATTTTAACATATTAAGTGATGCGTTTTACTGCACTTTATGTTCATTTTAGGAACAAATGAAACATTTTGTGAATGATTTAAAAGAAACCTGTTTACGTATGTGACTTTAGCTTCACTGTACTTCCACTAGTTGTTTATTTATTCTACGAGGGTACAAATGTTGTTGCCAGAATGAGCATAACGTCTCAGCCTAATTTATTTTTGCATGCTCCATAATCTGATATTTGTAGTCAGACATGTAATTTAAGCTTCAGAGAATATGCGTGTAAACACAGAGCTCTTTAATGTTTTGTCTGAAGAAAAAAAAAATTAACAGGCAAATAAACGTGTCTTGAAATCGCTCATGACTAAGCATGCTTTCTTCAGTGTGAACCAAGTGACCAAGAACCATTAAACGATACACAGGAGTGTTTTACGTAATATCGAGCTCCTTCCCTCTCGTAAGCCACACGTATATTACAGCACATACAGAAATGTGTTATTTCTTCACTTTACTTACAGAAGCCTAAAGTTTTAAGTTAGCTCTTTTATTCACATGTAAAGACACTTAAAATCAAGATAAGGGCTTTAAAAATAACATTCTAAAACATGATCACTTCATAGTGTAAAAAGTGGTAAGAGGGCACACAGAAGTTGGTCCTTTGAGATAATAGCATAGTGCAGAGAGAAGCCTCAGCTTTCTGGGCTCAGGTACGGACACACCACACACACCTGCGCGATGTCATCATACTCGTATGTTCTTTTCAGAAAGGTATCGGTGAGCCTCAGTCCAGATATACTCTGAAATAAAAGCAGAATATACACTTTAATACAATACAGTACAGCACAAAAATCAGACAACCCTTTATTTATTTAATTTCCAGTTAAAATGACCATCACGTACAAGCTGTTCATTTTCAGCTTCAGGAAAATAAGAAGAAAATGTATTTCACAATAAATTACATAGCAGCCTCATCTAAATATAATATCAAGGTTTCAGTATTTAGTGTGTCCAACCTTTACCTTTATTACAACTTCTGTTATCAGGAGACCTGCTTTCAGTTTTTCAAGGAAATCTGAAGGGATATTGCTCTACATCTCCATTGTTCTTCAGGTTCAGTCTAAGATTTTGGTTGCACTTTCTGCTTCTCATGATGCAAGCAATTCAAGCAGTCAGTGATGCTGAGGTCTGGACTCTGAGGTGGTCAGTTCATTGTTCTGAGAACACCAGCAGCTTCTTAGTTTGATTTGCAAAAGTTATACTTTTTCTGACTATTTCCTTTTCTCAGTAAGGGCTTTCTTGACAGCTACACATCCTTTCAGATCCACAGTATCTTTTCAATAAAATACTGGCTCCTGAACCCAAACAGTGCACAATGTCTCTAACTAACAGGCAACTGGGATTCAGACACGTGTACAAAACTTACATGATGCACTATACAGAAAAAAGAGAGCCACTTAAGATTCAGCCTGGGTGTGGGGCTGATTAAGGCAGATGTGACTAAAAAATGGACACGAAGCATTTACAATTGTACAGTGAATCATATAGTAAGTACATTCATTCAAAGCCTGTGATATTCATGTTTGGTTGTTTTGCCTGGTAGTTATCTTCATGCTATAGCAAATTAGTAAGAAACGCTGTTCCTTTCAGACCCACGGTGTTGAGTTGTCTTCTCACAGTGGAAGGATGGACAGAAACACCTGTGGATTCTTTCAGATCTGAAGCAGCTTGATTTTGTCCCTTAAAGATGAAATCTTTAAGTACTGTTTATCTGATGGTGACAGTGTTTGTGGTCTACCAGATCTTGCATGGTTATTAGGAATCCCATTTTCTCTCACTTTTAATTGTTTTTTGATTTCCAGTTTTTCCCACTTATTTTTGACTTTCTTAGTTTTCTAATCTGGTTTCCTCTTATATCTAATCACCTCAGAAAAATGAATAACTTGTACTTAAAATTAAATAAATTATGTGTGGTCTCTTTTGGACTTCGGAACAGTACTGCATGGTTACAGATTTACCCTTCAGAAGTTATAGCTACCATAAGCGGCAGTGATGGCATAATTTAAAATAAATGATTTCTCTAAGAAAGAAAAACAGCACAATTCTGTCAGAAGTTTAAATCAGTATCACATTTGTATTTCTAAGTAGAAGAACTACTTTATTACGATTTCAATTTGACTAAGGTATGGTTGTGTGTACAGAAAAGAAAATTCCTCCTTTTGTTGCCATTTTTTGTTATATTTTTGAACACAAAGAAATGGAAGTCACATACTGTTGAATCTGTTGATACAAAATGTAAACTGAATGCAAAGTAATTCATGTGTTATCATAATTTAAATTAATTATGTGAACACATTTGAATACTAGAGCAAAACTGCAGCAATAAATCTACACTTTTTAGGCCTGAATACAAGCATTCTTTCTTCTACAGACAGATCTTTTATATTATAAGAACATCTTACCTGTAAGCCCTGGACAGAGGACAGGAGTTTGAGGGGGATGGAGAGTGAGGCACTGGGGCTCAGTTTGCCCAGCTGTCTTCCTGAAACACCACACCAGTGAACTGACCTGGTGTTGCACATCTCCAGCAGCAGGTCCATGGTCCGCTCACTGGAAAACACACAGCAGGTTTACTCATGTTCATGCTTAACACTGTAAAGCTGTAAAATGTCAGAGGGAAATTAAAATGCTCTTACCTGCAGTTAGTGATTTTACAGGTAATGTCAAAAGGTTCCTCGAGGTTTACCGTGTCTGGAATGAGCTCGAGAGAGAGCCGTACGTCCCCATAACCGGGAGCCTGGGGTAGGAAACAGATGAATAAGAGTAATATTTCTGTACATACTGGCAATAAATAAAGGGTGCAAACACGGTCCAGGTTCTTCCCGGATGTGTATTAACAACCTTTACAGTATGGCAACATTTCACAATGAATGGTCCAAAAGAAATAGTCCAAAATTACTTGCAATACAATCTTGTTGCATTAACATACTTTAAGGTAAGAGCAAGACTTTCATGTTACAATTTGGGATATAAAAGGTTTTGTAATGACAGCAACAAATACTGTAAGAGCATGATGTTTTGGTTCAGTTAATTGCATTGCATGACTACAAAAGCATTTTGAGCCATTTGACAAATTTGGAAAAAAAAAGATAAATTAAAAAAATATATTCAAAATGGTTTAGGATAACAATAAGAAAAAATTATGCTTTTATAAATTTACATTCACAATAACAAAATTTACATTTTTTCCATTCTGTTCAGGTTATTCGGTTAACACTCTCCATCTAAAATTTAAGATAGCGTTGTTGATCATATATGCTGTAGTCACATTTGGACATTGACATAAAAACTATCAATCTTTCAGCCCTACCATTCTCTGCAGCTGGCTCGTCTGTAACCGGCCTCTCTCCCCAAGGTTGGTCTTCCACACAATGTCCAGTTTGCCTATTACTGTCACCCCTTTAATGACCCCAGCTTTCTCCGCAAACTCCGGCTTGGGCTTCAGACAGTAGAGGTACTGCCGCGTGTCCATCGGCTGCAGATACGACATCTTCCCAAAGGTTGATTCACTGCTGCCAGAAAAAAAACAGAATGTTTGAATTTTAAGAATATCAATAAACAAATACTAATTATGTAAAAATAATAATAATCTACACAAGAACAGAATTTTTCTTGAAAATCTAAACATTCCACAGCTGGTACACATCTAGATTAATACTGCAAAATTTCTCTATATCCATTCCTAAATAAAATGAATGATGCTCAATAAACCTGTGTGTAGTATGCAGTAAAGACTTTACCTCTCCTTTCCGGAGGCCACTGTGTTTAGTTCGGTGACATTGTACATCAAGGAGGGTTCCAGAGACACTTTCTCCATGAACATGGGTGATGTGGTGATGTTCTGAATCTGGGCCTCCAGGAAAACCTCATCTGTCTGCAGGAGTTAGAACTCATCTTAGCTGATTTGGAGTACTGTGCAACACAGGGACATTTTTAGCCATTTTATTTGGCCTTTTGCGGATCTTGAATGTCAGACAGTATTGTGATTGGGCTGTGGGGCACTGTGTTCATGTGGGTTATGTAAAAAGACCATAAAGTGAAATTTAAGCCCCACAGAGAAAAACAGGCAACACATCTGAAGGCCAAAACAGCCTGTACACAACATCTGTGTGACAGGGAGACGGACATGTGCATTAATAGAAATGCAAGTCTCAATTTAGACATTTTAAGAGATCAAACTTGAGATCCAGGGCCAAATAAAGCAGCTGAAGCCCTGTTAATGTCAGAGAGGTGGATTAGTATGAACTGCTCTGGACAGGCATTACCAGCTGAGGTTAGTTCATGCCTGCGATCTGGAGATGAACGAAGAAAAATCAAACCTTTAAGAGAATTTTTGTTATTATTTCAGCATAAAGCTCAATTTCAGGCCAAGCACAATCAACCAGTGAGGAGGAAAAAAATCCTGAATCTTATCAAATGTTTCCTGTAGTACAGAGTCAACAATGCTGTTCTTGTTTTTTTTCTTAAATCTGTGTTAATGTGAATTAACCAGGGACGCATTGATGCAGGAAATGTTGGCTGATGCGAATATCCAATAATTTTCATGTACATATCTGGCGATACAGATACATAAACATTTAAAGACTGTAGAAATTAAAAATAGATCAACCTGTTTTATCATTATAGAGAAAAAATATACTTTCTTTCCTATAGGGTTACAAATGCAGTGAAATTAATAGTATGCAGATATTTTAGTGCAGTAACCCAGCATCACCTAAACATTCAGCTCCTTAAATGTCTCTGAATACCTGTTTGAATTATCAGTCAAATCTAACCATCGGCCTTTGTGAAATCGTGGTTATATTACATGTTTTGTGGAAATACGTTAGCACATCCTCTACAGAAAATAAACTTAAATATGGATTTTTTCTGTACATTTTATTGTACGATTTCTATTTTTGCAGAGTTTAACATAACAGAAAAACTAAATATATAAAGTACGCCATAACTTTTGCACAGACCACATTTTATGTTTCATTTTTTCCCCAATATGTTCAATTGAGCAAAAAACAGTAATTATGCATTAAACTGTGCAGACGTGTGTTCTCTGTAGAGAAGGTGTTAACATTTCACTTAGAAAATCAACAAAGCATGTTATTTGACCAGGGGTCCCCAAACTTTTGCATACAATTTTTAAGTAAATGATTCTCCCAATCGACCAAAATTAAGCGATGCGCAGTATGAATATTCACCACCTCCCCACAAACACTGCTGCACTGATTTCGCTGCACACACAGTCCAGTTTAGCTGTTCACCCAGTTCAGCTGATTTAGTTCTGTAGCCACTCGATTGCATTTAAAAGATGAGACAGCAGCAGAGCAGAAGCACAGAGGTGGAAAAAGGGAAAACAACAAAAAGGCTTTTAAAAACTGTGTCTAAGCTCCTCTCTCTTTACTCTGACTTTGCTTTCTTCGCATTCTGACATTATTTTTATTGTTTTCCCTTTGCTTGTTTTATTGGCTCCACAGAGGAAACAAGGAAAGAAATTAAGCTGCAAAAAAAAGAACTTTGCAATGAGAAGAGAAGCAATTACCACAGAACTGAGGTCACTCTAATGGAGAAAATAAAACACAATTATTAGAAATGTGAGGGTTACATGCAGAAGAAAATGCAAATGTCATAAATGTCAAGCATGGTACATATTTATATAGCAATAAAAATACTGCTTAAATAAAAACAAAAAATAATGCTAAGATACCAGGCGCCTGTCTCACAAAGCATGTTCAGCTGTTTGGGTTCCAACTAAGTTTTAGCTTCTCAAAACCAGTGCAACACAGTTAACTCATTTAATAAGGCAGTTAATAACTTTTTCTGTCAAATTTAGATATTCAGCTTTCAATTAAATCTTGTGTGCAGGCACATGAAGGTATGATGTTTACAATAAACAGCCAATTACGTAAAACATCAGGAGGCGTTGAGCGGCTAACTTTTCAAGAAATTATACAACTTGAAAATGAAGGAAGTAAATCTATTATTTGTTAATGAAGTTGCTTTTGCATATATTATTGCTCTTTATGTTTTCGTATGTACAGTACTGTCCAGACTTTCATTTATCTAATTTCCAGACTTTCATTTATCTAATTCCCAGTCAAAACAGCCTCAGCATCAGAAAAAAAAACATACACTACTACTAAATGGTACAAATTTTTCAGTATTTAGTGTGTCCACTCTGCCTTTCTTACAACTTCCATTCTTTTCAGGAGACTCACTATCAGTTTTTCAAAGAAATCTGCAGGGACATTTTTCAACACCTCCAAAGTTCAGTCTTAGGTTGGTAATCCAAATAAAAAAATGATCAAAACTTTATTCCACATCGCAGATGTCCAGTTTTGGTCCTCTAGTGAAAATTTTCTTTTCTCAGTTTTCTTTTCTCACTGAGGGCCTCTGAACAGCTACACAACCTTTCAGACTCATGTGTCTTCTCACAGTGGAAAGAAGGACAGAAACACCTGTAGATTTTTTCAGATCTGAAGTGTTTAAGATGAAAGCTTTAAGTACTGTTTATCTGGTGGGCACAGTTTTGGAGGTCTACCAGGTCTTATGTGGTTGTTAGGAATCTCATTTATAACTATGTAACTCCCACTTATTTTCTTCTGACTTTTCCCTTCTCTGTGCCAGTGGTTTATCTTGTATGCCATTTCCTCAGAAATGTCTCCCTTAGCCATTTTAAATGCACATGAAAAAGAAACTTCATGGCAGCTGAGGTGAGTTTGGGTAGTCTCTTTGAAGGTGAATATAACGTCAGTGAGAGATTTTGTTGGGAGGACACAGCTGTAACTGATTGGCTTTAAGATTGGAAGGAAGGAAGAGTAAAAGAGGTAAGTAGTGAGCACAAACGTGAAGAGTGGACAAATTAAATACGTACAGATTTGACATACTTGTACTTTATGGCTGTTTATAACTGAAAAAAAAACAAATGAAAGACTGGTCTCTGATTTTTGCACAGTACAGTATATGGTATGATTTTGTGTTCCACCACTGGAAAACTGAAAAAAGCCACAATTGGTTGTTGTGCTATTTGTCTTTCAGTCTTTTAACTTTACACGTACTATAAAACAAACAGCTGATGACTTTAATGAAATGTAAATGGAACGGGTCCATCTCTACCAGAACCTCAGCCCTGATTAGTCAGAAGCTTGGCCTTGAATGGTCCAAGAGCTGTTTACAATCCATAATCCTGCACTTAACCTGACCCAGAGCAAGTGTGCAGCATAAACTGCCATAGAAATGTAGCCCGATAATAAGTTATACACTGCAATGAGACAGAAAGTACAGGGTTAGATGGACCTAAGCTTAAAGTTAGCTGGCTAAGCAAGAAACCCTGCTTCGTGAGACAGTGAAATGGACCCACAAATATAATGGATAATAAACTAAAATGAAAATTCTATGAGCACAGCTGAGTAAATGCAGGTTAAATGGTGTGACCACAGAAAAGAAAATGAAGAATATGTGGACACGTGCAGAAATGCTACTAAAAGCAATTAAAATAGTTTTCCATGAACACTTTTTGTTTAGCACTTCTTCATAGTCGTGAGCAAAAGTTTAACAGCCCTGGTCAAATTACATTTTGTTGTTTTTCTAAAACAAAAACAACACATCAACAAACCTAAATATGGCATTTTGCTGATAATTTAGTTCATAATTTCTATTTATTTGTTGAGTTTAACACTGAAGAAAAAACATATAAAGTGTGCCATAACTTTTGCAAAGGGCACATTTTATGTTTTATTTTTTCTCTGTTGAGGATGCATTCACTTATTTTCACTTAGAAAATCAACAAAAATCATTTGACCAGAGGCACCAAAACTTTTGCATAAGAATGTATTACTAAACAGATTGAGAAACACATAAAAACTTACCTCAGCATTGTAGAATTTGGTCTTCACATCTAGAGGCTTGAGAACCTGATTTAGAATAGAATTCAAACTGAAATGTGAGCTGATGTCTGAATGTTCCTCTTTAGAATGCATTTAAACACATACAACAAAACAGCCACTCAGTAAATACGCCACAATACAAGTTTCAGTCTATTTCGTCCAACTGTCAGAGACCGGAGCCTTACAAAGTGTGCCTGATCTGATCCAACGGTCTTTGGTTTTGTGAAGCACTAAAATGTGAAGTGCTAGTGTTAATTACGTCCTGCTCTGACAACACTCTGTGACATTGTTTGAGAGTGACGGCTCTGGACGGACATCTACGCCTTCCACCACAACTTCCTCAGTGCAATATGACAGATGGCACAATGGCAGCTGACATGAAGACATAGTCCACTGTAATGCCCAACACGGCATTTCTCTTTTTACATCAAAACAAGAAATGTTAAAGAAGGAGTGAGATTTGCACGTACCTGAAATTTGAAAAACTTCCTAAAGTAAAGTTTGTCTCCAGACTGAGTGGTGTAGCTGACAGCACAAACCAGGCTGGAAAACACAAGGTTCTTAGTGAATATCAGCATTTTAGTGTGTATACAAGTTTTACTAATTAAAGAGATCTTTTATATGTCTGTTAGATTTTAGTATGGAGGCCTCCAAATAACCCATCCTGTGCTACCTATTGCTGCTTTTGGTTCTAGGTAGGACAGTCACAATTATACTCCATGAAACTCAATACTTTGATTGTAAAAATATAATTTGCATTAAAATAGAAATTCTCAATGAATTAACACTAACTATTTGGCAGTTTTCATGATGTTAATGCATATAGATTATCTTACTGCTCTTTCTTACAGTTAAAAACAGTAAAGTATTTTGAAATCTTTGAAAGGCTATGCAGGGTTTTTCATTGTTCTGTTAAGTTTGTTTTTATTGTTTGGCCTTTTTTAAAGCTCTGATTACTCAATTCATGGTCAAAGTAATCAGTATATTACCCAAATAAGATAAGAAAGCTTTAGCAATCTGTCACATGAATACATAGATACACAGCCTGATACTTAAAATACAAAACACTTACAGCAGCAATGCACATAGACTGGGGGGGTTATTTATTATGTCCTTGCTGACTAATTGTTACTAATTACTAATATAATAAATGTTGACACCACAAGTTTCAACCCTATCTTAACCCTAAGGGGTTAATTTTTCAGTCCCAGATTAGTTAAATCCTAAAGTAAAAAGGGCTTTCAGTGTGGGTCTCAATTTAGTCTTAGACTAGGCTTAAACCATATCTGGAAAACTGGCCACAGAAGTTGCACTTATTACGTATTGCATTAGTGTTTGTAAGAAGAAGAGAAAAAAAAATAATGTGTGTGTGTGTGTGTGTGTGTGTGTGTGTATATATATATATACACACATACATATATATATATATAATATATATATATATATATATATATATATATATATATATATATATATATATATATATATATATATAGATCTCGAAACTGTCTGCATAGAATGTAAATCAAACATAATTTGCAAAAAACTGTCATTAATTATGTAACTATGTAATATCCTTTAAATAATATAGTAAAATGACCATAATATCTGTAGACTTCTACAGCTAGATCTAAAACTGTACAGTAGGAGAAGCATCCCAGTTAGGTTTATTACTTAGAAAATTATTAGTTATACAGGTTTATTACTACCTATTACTTCAACTTGTCTTACATGTGTGTTCCGATCTCTTTGACTTCATGGTGGATGACGTCATCGATGCAGCACTCTGGTTTGAGTTCTGCTACGGCTGAGTTTGATGCAGACAGGTTTAACCTCTGAGAGCTGGTCTGCAGGTCAGCCTGTACAGAGCAAAACCCAAACAACAGCATACAATGAAACTTTAATGCAACTTTAGTTGCTTGAAACCTACATGAAACTAAATTGTACTTGAGTTGAATAATGTAAAGCATCCTGCAACTCATTTGAAACTCAGCCGCAACAGTTGCAAGCATCTCAACTTTAATTAGTGGACAAGAAAATAAATCAGAAGATGGTTATAAGTTGAAAAGGAGACCTCCCTAACTGACCAAGGTTGGTAGTTTTTCATCTTGTCCATTTCCTGAGCCATGACAACAAACGTGAGTTGTGTATTTTTAATGTACTGCAAGGCATATTGCAATTAGTCTGTAGCAATATAGTCACTGGTATGTTGTCCATATTGTGCAGGAATGGCTGAATGAATACCTTTACTAGGATATCTTTGACCACTTGGTTGCTGTCATTGTGCACACTGATGTAACTTGAGAAGGTCTCGCCAAGGAAAATATTCCTGTGCAGGAGAAAGTGAGAGAGCACACACTGGATTATTAGGTCACTTTGAGGCTCAGAAATAGATGCTGCAGACAAGAACAGCTTCTCAATATAAGGACAGACTTAAAGGGCCGGGTTACCAGATAGATGAAGCCTATAAGAAGGACAGAACACCTACATGGCCTGGTGACAAGGAAAGTCAGACGTGGAAGAAACTGCCTCACACTGAAAACAATATCCCACAGATCTGACCAAGAACAAGTGCCTGAGATTACATTTTGGACAAAACCTCTTGTTATTCTATTGTGGAAATCACGCACTGCACTGCTGCTTCTATTGTTGTAAATGAGTTTGAAGAATCTTCTCATAACGTAGAGGTTTTATGAAGAACCTTTACATTCGTAAAGAATCTTACATTATACGAAGGTTCTTAAACCTTCGAAAGGTTCTTCACACTCACCAATCTCTTTTTAAAAAGACAGTTCTTTAGGGAACCAAAACTGATAGACTGCACTCTTAAAAACAAGTAATCCTAATGAAAAATTATTAAAGGGAAAACAACTTTATACTGTCGACACATTTGGGCGTCACGGAACATTCAAAATTAAAATGTTACTTATTGCATTACTTATTCATCTGAATATAAAGTCATCTGCCTGGTTTAGGACCAATTATTTAGTCAATCACATTGAGCTCAAACAAACTTAAACCTTCATTTTTATCCTTTTACTTTTTTTTAATTTGAACACTTTAGTAACCCTTTGCATTGTGTTAAAATTTCATGACAGACCAGCAGAAACCTATTTGGAAAAAAATTCTTGTTAATTTCTGCTACAAGTTAAGAATGATCTTCCTTCTCCTGTAAAGTTACCATTTTGGAGATAAAAGGTTTTGTTCTGACAGCAACAACATGTTACTACTTACAGTTTCTTGCTTTAACATGAGCTACACTGGTTAATTTGAGTTAAAAGCTGGCAACTTCAGATCTAGGAATATTCTGCATTTGCATCATGGAAGCCTAGTAATAATATCAAATAGCTTACTGTGATTGTTATATTTGGATGTTATTTGGTACTTATGTATATTGGTACATTTAGGTTGTATCATGTCTAAGTCAACACAAACAATGCATTATGGTTACATTAACACTTTTGTTCAATGCGACTTACATTAATACTACAGTAACAGCTACACTGTAGTAAATATGTAACTCAGGGGCAAAACAGCAGTAGCCATCAGCAAACCCCCTAACCTCCAGAGCAAGAACACATTTTTTTTTCTTACAAGTGAGCTCTCATCAATGAGTGTGTTTACATGCACTTAATAATCTGATAACTGCAGAAAATCAGATTTTGTCAGTAATCTGATCAACGCATTTATATGTACTGGAGTAATCAGATAATGGGAAACTCCGGGTCTACATGATTCAGGCAGTAATCGGATTTCTGCTTTGCAACCAGCCAATAAAGTCACAGAAGAAGACGTCACGTAAACGTAATGTAAAACTTCATTCCGCTGCTTTTTTTTTTAAGTCACTTTTGCACCACTTTACCTGGAAATACGTACATACATCATTTAGAACATAAAGAATGCCTAAATCCTTCACTTTGTCAAGAACGTAGTTTGCTATGCGTCGCTCCAAAAGTGTTTTGCTGCGTCTCGCAGCAACGCTGCTTGCTCATTTCTGGTACCGCTGTCTGTTTTCGAACATGCGCAGACTGAGAAATCCTAAAGAAATCAGAGTAAGAGTACACATGCGCTGAGAAATCTGATTACTGAGCTAAAATCCAGCTCTCTTTATTGGACTTCTTAATCTAATTTCTAGATTCCCTCGGATCTAAGAAATCGGAGTACGCCGCTTATATGACCATTTGAATAATGGGATAACTGCAGAAATCCGATTATGATCGGATTATGAAGTGCATGTAAGCGCCCTCAATCCACATTATCTTGGTATAATGTCTAAATAAACATGCGCAGAATCTTTTTACCCAAAATTCTGTGGTAGCGTGAGCATCTCCCCAAGCATCAAGGTCTCTGCCCCTTTAATAGTAGACGGATCCTCCCTCATAAGTCGTCCAAATAAATCACCTGTAGACATACAGTACACGAAATATTCTAGAGCCAAAAGAATACACTTACAACAGAGGCCAAATATTTAACGTAAGTGAAAACTGATTAAAGATTTTTAACAGTGATTTAAGTAGGCCAGAATCAGAATGATTTATGTTCGTGGAAAAATATGTTGCTCTCTACATTTAGAGAACCTGATCTTTGATCAAAGGCCAGCTTTGCAGAGTTCTGCCCAATGAGTGACAGGCTGACACAGTTAAACTGTATAGCATTACACAGTCATCTGATATGATGTCAAAGGCAAGGCCTAGACAAATTACAACTGGTATATATTATAGTACACATCTAGCTGGAGTCTGCAATAACTAAATTAAAGAAAACAGGAGAAGGCATAGCATGAGACAAGGCTGGCTTCAGACCTACTCCGTTCACTTTATCTTTCCACTATCATGTTCTCCTCATTCATCTTGATTTATAGCAGAATATGCTCCACTTTCATTTTGCCCCCCATATAAATAGAGGACCTACGAAGAAGTGTCATAATGACATATGCCTCTGGAATGGTGCCGTTAATGGCCGAATATCGAGTTTCAGAGCTGCTGGACTGTGGCACAAGGGAAAACAAACATTATAAATTCTTGTTGGGTCTGCAGGTTATATTCTGGGCCAGAGTCATACCAGGGATTTCATTCCAATTTTACTAACAGGCTTTCAAAGAAGTTAATTGCGGGCGTCAAAGTGAAACTGCAAATAGCACCACCAGTGACACAGCTGTCTTGCTTAATTACAGGCATTATGAGTTTGCATCTCACTTACTACATACATAACTATTATTTCAATGACAAAAGCAGTCACAGAGATTTGTTGAACTATATAGTATTATTAAATATAAAACAATATTAGTCAGTTTTTTTACCTGGAAGGTCTCTGTCTTCACAGGTCACCGGCATGTTGGTGAACAGTGTGGGTTTTGTCAGTCGCATCACTGGGGGAAAAACATGAGTTCATGTTAATACATGAACAGAGATTATTGAAATCAACTTTATGAAATTGTGCTGACTTTTGTTGCTATGAACTGGGTATCATTCAGTGATTCCTCAATGATAGTTATTTTTGATATCTGGTCCATATCCTACATTTTTCTAGCATTTTGCATTTCCCCTAAAGCCCACTTAGGATATTTGTGTGGTTGTATGTACCAAAAAAAGAGAAATTAAATTAATTAATTAAATTAATAAATACTAGATAAATTATTAAACTAGCTGTTTTGTAAATGGCCTCTGTTCTGACTGCCTGCCCTGTATTGTGACTCAAAGAAAGCAGTTGGGACAGAAACGCTTCTTATAAGATCAGCATGAATGGGCAGAGATGAACTGCATTAGGCTGAATTGGCAGGTATATGCAAATGTTTTAATTTTTATGACATTACCACAATATTAAACTGAGAATGGGTTTAGCTTCCTTATGGACTGAATTGCTGACAACCACAATCAAGAAGTGCAGAAAACCCTCCTTACAACTTAAGTGTAAAATGGGCAGTGCTAAACTGCTGTAGGCTGAAGTGTAGGATTTATGTAAACAAGTTTGTTTTCATAACATCACATTCAAAACAGGCTGGTTTTTGCAGCTTTGTTTCCATTTATAAACTGTGTACATTAGGGAGTGAACCCATTAATAACTTGCATACGGGATGTAATTTGGACAGCCAATCAGCAGTCTAGATTTTGGAATAAGCATGCTTACTGGCTGACTGATGTTGATAAGTTTGACTAGCTAGGTACTGAAGTTTGGTACTGAATGACATGGAACTTTTCAATACTCTGTATTATTGAAGTAATTCTGTTTATGCCATAAAAGTACTGATTTGTGATATCCAGCCCTAATTTGGATCACATGGAGGCATTAAAAGCCCAATAGACTGTAGAATCACACATTTAGTCACTTCACTCGTTAGCTACAAAACTCTGAATACAAAAACTTTTATTGAACACTTCACAGGTTGCACTTTACTAATGATCTAATCTATTTAAACAGGTCTAAGTATGTTTTTTGTTATGAAACATGCAGTCAGTCAGTGTTCTTTAAGTACTGATGAGATCCTCAGAAAAGCATGACAAAATTATCACAACAGCAATAAATATCATCACACCCACTCCTAGAGTTGAGTCTAACAAACTTGAGTTCCTATGCTGATACGTGCTGAGAGATGAGATGAAAGAGAAGTAATGTTACACATATTATTAAGCTTGATGCAATTACTGATTCTGAGGTCAAGATTTGATTTGAATTGCGATTTTTTATGTGTTAAAAAATGAGTGTATATAACACAGACTGGTAAGGCTCAGAAAAATACTACTTTTGTTTCAAAATAAAAAACTACATAGTAGCATTTCCTAGTGCAAAACAAACATATAAGATTTTCTGTCTCAGTTTTTGATGCTCAACAATTGAAATGTCAATACGTATGTGTGCAATTACAAGACCCATTTCTCACATTCCTCTACATTTTATTGGGTACCTTTAAGTCCCTGTAAGACATTTTTTGTGGTTTTATAAACCAAACAGTAAATTCACATTTATGTGACCATTTTACAACCTCTCTGTATCCTTTAGAATTAATTACATTGTTTTTGTGACATCACATGAACAATTCATTCAAAACGGGCTATTTTTTCCGCTTAGTTTCCATATATTGACTGTCTGGAGTGGGGAGTGAACTGTGTTTTGAAAATTTCACAGTGTTCACACAGTATAACAAACTCTTATTTAAAAAACAAGAAAATCAGGTTTTCCAGGATATGGACCCTTTAAAGTAAAAGCAAAACATACGCTGAGTCTGACACTGAGCATTAATAACAACTAAGCTATAGCTGTATTTCAACGAGGTTCAAGTTAGCTTCTTGTTCAAATTTTCCCGTTCCACCTTAAATGGTGCAGCAGTTACATTCTGGCGCCTGAGGCGTTATAATGATAACTGCTGCACCATTTAAGGTGGAACGGGAAAATTCGAAGAAGAAGCTGACGGATAGGAAGCCAACTTCAGCTTCACTGTTTTTTGTTTTTAAACGGTTTTGAGTTTCGATACTGTATTAAATATGTAAACCGTGAAATACACAGAGAAATGCCTAATTGTGAGCAGATATCAGAGAAAGCAGCGGAGCAGTCAGTGAGGCTCTCCTGTCGCTGACAGACAGACAGACAGACAGACTGCGGCCGCTGTGTCGAGCTACAGGAGCTACGCTGCGGCAGTAAACAGTGCAGCGTTATACAGATGCAGCAGGAGTGATAAATGAAGCAGACTGAGAGCTGAAACTGTACCTTTTAGAGCCAGAAGGTGCTCCTGTTTAGCCTGATTAACATCCATTTTGTGTTATGGTAAACCCGACTGAACTTTCGCCTGCATCAGCTGATGACGGAAACCAGAGAGGGACAAAAGGCGTTTTCATCAACGCAGCAAAGGAGGCCAGGCAGAGACAATAAACCTGTACATTAATGTTATTAACATGTTGTCGAAATGTTTGTAGAAAAAAATACAAGCATACGAATACATATATTAATAAATTATTAATTATGATATATGAACATACACCGATCAGCCATGACATTAAAACAACCCCATGTTTCTACACTTACATCCTATATATGTATACATATATGTGTGTGTGTGTGTGTATCTCTCTCTCTCTCTCTCTCTCTCTCTCTCTCTCTACGTATATATGTATGCTCAAACAATCCAAGCAGTCTGTTTCAGGCTAGATTTATTCATATATATTATTATATGTGTGTGCGTGATAGAAAAATCAAAGAAACCATTCAAAGTTTCCGTTGGTTTCTGGTGGCGTCCAGTACTCAGTAATGGTATTCTGTGTTTTCTTGATGGGTTGATATCACAGTGTAAAGGACTCTAACAGGTGTTCTGATTCCAAATGCATTTGATGGCTTCCTAATGGGATCTGAAAGTGTCCTGCATGACACTAGTGGTCTCTAACGGTAACCATTAAGCCATTTCCCATTAGAAAGCAAAACTATCAGGTTTTAATCCTAATGGTTCTAATGGTCTTTTTTCAGCAAGGATCAGTTATCATTATTATAGCTAACTGGTGCAACGTGTTCTGGTGCGAAAGCGTCTTCTTTCACTTGAGATTTACGTTTTTGTACACCTTGACAGCATGAACATTTCATTATATTTCATACGAATTCACTTTTTCCAGAAGATGATTTAACAGATGCTTCATTGTAAAACAAGCTGGAAAGGGTCCTAAAATACGTTTGGATCTTAGATAACATCAATCTAGATTTATGTATGTAATTTACCGGGAGGACACATTGTCATTACAATTATATAGTTTATTTGAATGAAATTAGGAAAACTATGAATATAAGTAAAGATATTTAAACGCGTTTTGACCAGAGCTGCTGCAAAAGTGTCATATTTGAGCAGCGGTGACATTAAACCGATGGAAACAGCTGATGGATGCGTCTATTGTTTGTGTAGGGGGATTAAATGATTTTTGTACTAAGTATATGTGTAATTACAGAATCAGCAATGTAAATCACACAAATATATTGCAATACAAGAGCAAAGTGTAAATACGCAGTTAGGTAAGGGCAAGTCATAGTAGGCCAGAATTAAGGTTGTGACCTTATTTGCTCGTCCTCTCACTCGTTCACCCCGATTTTGCGATGGATGGTCGAGTCCCAGGATGGCCGCCGCTGTAAATAAGCAAGGAGCCGCAGCATCGATGGAGCCTTGTGTCCGACATGGCAGGGGCACTACAGGCAATACGGTGAAGGTACGATGTTTTAAGTACATGGAAAATCAAGAAGAGTGTTTTGGGAGTGTTTTTTCGCATATAGGTGTGTTTTTGCCTTCGTGCCTCCGGTCAGACAGATATGCTGCTGCGGGGCGTCGCAGTGTTTCATATCAAGAATAGCGAGCCAGCTAAGCTAAGCTAAGTCCAATAATCATAACATCATTTCCCCCCAACATTTTAATAAAATAATGCAATGAGTAGTTCTTCAACTGTTGTTTACTTTTAATCAACGGTACTTTATTCTGTCTGTGAACTTGCATTTGCATTTTGCAACAAATCAAGCAAGCAGAATACCAGCTAACATTAGCGGAGGTGCTTAGATAGACGGCAGGCAATCACTTGGCAACAGTTAGCCCAGAAAGGCAATAGTCCTGTTTAGAAAGCATGAATTCTATATAGAACCTCGTGCGTGGTTCTTTGCGTGTTGAAATGGTTCTTCAGATTGATGGAGAATATGTTGTATAAGGTTTTATTTATAATGGTTCCATATAGCACCATAAAAGGTTCTGCTTTGAAACGATATCAAGCTTGTAAGAATAGAAGAACCCCTTTTGTTGATGTACACAACTGTTTTCAAAAAGGCTTGATATATGATCTAGAACCATATAGAACACAATCTGAAGAACCATTTCACAATTCAAAGAACTGTTCAAACACTAAATGGTTCTAAGTAGCATCATTGCATTTACTAAAGAATCCTTAAAGAACCATTTTTAAGAGTGTATCTCGCTTTTTTCACCTAATTGTTGCCAAGTGCCATCTTTCTAACCATCTCAGCTAATGTTAGCTCCAACTCCCATAGATCTCTATATATGTCCATTCCCCTTACTAAAGAACCCTTGAACCCTTGTTTTTAAGAGTGTAGGTAACGTTAGATCGCTATCCATTAGGTTAATCAGAGAATCTGTAATATGTTTTATTCTGGACAGTCTTTGTCTCTTTTTGTTTTGCAGCATAACATAAAGGGTAGCTTTGCTGCATCTTTCCAGTCGTCACTTGATACTATTTTTATAGGCTGAAGTCAGAATGAGCTGTAAAGGGTAAATAACTATTAAGCTGTAGATGTGTAAAATAGGTAGTCTGCAATCTGTCCTACCTTTCATCTCTTGAAATATAAAAAAATTAAGTATATACAACCCAAAAAGTTGGGACACTGTGCAAAATGTAAATAAATTATATAAATAAATAAGAGTTTACAAAATAAAATGTACCACGACAATAAGATGTTATATCACATTTGTTAACAGAAACTGCAAACAGGCTACTGCTGTAAAAAGACCCTTAGGAATAAAACCTGATGGTTTTGCTTTCTAATAGGATTTGGCTTAATGATTACCATTAGAGGCCATTAGTGTTGTGTAGGATGCCTTTACATTCTATTAGGAAAGTATCAAATGCATTTAACCATTATATTCTTTTACACTGTGGGATCAACTCATCAGGAAAACACAGAATACCGTTAGTGACTACAGTACTCCACCTGGAACCAGCAGAAACTTAGAATGGGTTCTATGATTTTTTTTTTTTTCAACAGGGTAATACATTAATGGAGCTCTCCAGCTGTGTTATGTACGGAAAGTGGATTAAGTGATGATATCGCTAAGCAGAAGCAGCCACACTGTCCTTGTGGCAGAGAGTGCACGTGCACGTGAGGTCACTGGGGCTGAGAATGCATCTGGCCGAGAATGCATGTCTGCAGCCAGACTCTCTGAATCTCTTAATGATATTATATACCATAGATGATAAAATCCCCAAGTTCGTTGCTATTTGCCCTTTTAGTCTTTCACAGAGTGGTGAACTCCTCTCCATCTGTCTCTGGGATGCTCTTTTTATGCTCAAACATGTTACTGACCTGTTGCCAGTTAACCTAATTAGTTAAGATTTTCCACCAAATTATTTTTTTTGCATTACACTTTTGTTGCCCTGACCAACTTTTTTGAAACATATTGCTGGCATCAAATTCAAAATGGGCACATATTTCTCAAAAAACAATGAAATGTCTCAGTTTCCACATTTGATATGTTGTCTTTGTAGTATTTTCAATGAAATATAGAAATATATCATTGCATTCTGTTTTATTTACATTTTGCACAGCGTCCAAACTTTTTCTAGAACAAGGATGTAGATTATTGATTTACATTATACTTTTCTCTCTTTCCTCAAGATTTATTTTGATTTTTTGATATTTTGGGTTTTCTCTAATTGTGTACAGTACAAACTTGGATTAAATGAACCCAGGTGCCTAATGTTGATCATTCACTAAAATGTGAGACCCTCAGAACAGACAGAAGTGTATTGGCAATTGTTACTGTATTGAAATTGTTACACTCTATTAGTAATGTGATCAAACTCATCTGTAACTAAGTGACAACCCATTGTTTCATACAAATATTTGCTGCCGCTCAGGTGCTGGAGTGCGGAGTATGTGAAGACGTTTTTTCACTGCAAGGAGACAAGGTGCCTCGGCTACTGCTGTGCGGTCACACCGTTTGCCATGACTGTTTGACCCGCCTGCCCCTCCATGGCAGGGCTGTGCGGTGTCCCTTTGATAGACAGGCCACTGAGCTGGGTGAGTGAGTCATTCTTATGCTCCCTGGATAAAATTTCAGTTTTTTCTTAGATGCTATTAAAGGGGAATTTCTGTTATTAAATGGGAGTTTTAAAAAAATACTGCATATTTGTTCACATCTCAGCTTCTGTAGATATTTTGAAAAATCAGTGGGATTCCCTTTTAATGTAGGTGGGCAAAAAGGCTAAATACCACTCAGTATTTACAAGAACAACTCAAGCGTTCAAGGCTACTACAGGGCTGCTTGACCAGCTGGCTGGAACGTCACATTAGAAAAGGGATACATCCTGTTGTTTATCACTCTCAATGAGATTGCAACTAGTGCATCTTAAAGGATGCTGACTTTAGCTGTTTGCTAAGCTGTGACTCAGGATACTGACCCAAGCGTCACTTCTACTGTTTGGCTGTACAAATCGGGCGCTGTCTGTACATTCTAGATATAATCATGATGTCATAAGCCTTTGGACTTGAGTGCTGCAGTTTAAGAAATATTGTATTTTGGTGCTGTGTATGTACTGTTAACATCATTGCATTATCATCAGTAAAAAATAAACTCTTTTCTCACTTTCAGGGGACTCGGGTGTGTGGGGCCTGAAGAAGAACTTTGCTCTGCTAGAACTGCTTGAACGGCTGCAGAACGGCGCCTCCAATCAGTCAGGGATGTCGGAGGACGCACTGCGAGAGATGGGAGAGGTTGGAACCTGAGTTTTCCTATTAGACATACAGCACATGCTTCTACCCAGTATGAATATAAGAGAGTGTCTCCCTCAAGAATCACCATACCAGTGCCACCTCTGGCCAAGAGGGTTAAATCATTAAATCATTGTACATTCTAATGTTTTGCTTGGGCATGTGAAAGTCCATTCAGTGCCTCATATAATCCTAAACTTGATGTAAGACACAGGTCATGGACAGATGTTATTCCTGTGGATGTGTCAGCACTATTGTGTTATTGGATCTTGTAAATCTTTTCTTTGCATAACATTTGCCTAAGCAAATGTTTTGTGCTAAGCAAAAAGCATTACTTAGTGTGAAATGCACG